TATATATAGTCTCTTTGTATTTAGGTTTTCATCATTCAATTACATTATGCAGAATCAATAAAACCCTAGCCTCTTTTTCTTTTCTCTTTGGATTGTTTAACAAGCCTATCATCTAGCACCACCTAAACTGAGGTTGTAATCCCAATGGGTCTACATAGCATTACTCATTTTCTAAAGGAAAAATTGCAGCTGCGGTCCCAAACCTTTTCGTTTTTTGCAAACTTTATCTCGACCTTCACTATGTGCCACCACAGATCCCAAAGCTTTGAGAAATTCTCACCGAAGGACCATCTAGACAGAAACCATCCAAATCACCGTTAGTCAACCGGGAAAATTAAAAAATGAGATATTTTGACCATTTTAAGGAGGGACATTTCCTAATAAAAGAAAAAAATCACCGTCTTCTTCAAACACCCCACCCCCACCCTTCCCCAACACCAAAATCCTGCCGCCCACTACCACTGTAGCCGCCACAAACGCCACCACCATGACCACCATCTCAGACAACAATTTTAAATACCATTAACCCAACAATTTTCTTCTAAGATGGCTTATTAGGCCATACAAGATGTCGCATCTTCAGGGAAGTTTCATTGAGATTGGGACTGTCAAAAGTAAGAATTCAAATTCGAAAAAGAAATTGGCGGAAGTTGGAGATTATGGGAAGAGGATTCGAGCTTCTTTTTGGGAGACCTTGAAGTCATATGGCAGTGAACCACCAGAGAACTGGCCGCCTCCTCCACCTACATCTGGAAATGGGCTTTCAGTGCATACACCACCTGGACCTCCTTTTGCCCCTGGCGTCAATCTTATTCGGGCATCAGGTAATGGAGGCAATGGTGGCAGTGGAAAATTGAACTCGTCAAAAAGGAAAATGGATGCGCCTTGTTGAGGAGGTTTGAGAGTGGGTGGTCTGCGATCTTGACTTCCACCGTCGGCGCCGAAAAATGGTTTAGAAAGCTGCGTTCTCGCTAGGTTCGAAAATTGGATCTGTAGATTATGATTTGTTACATTATTTGACGTTAGAAGACCATGGACAGGGGTGCCCCAACGACTAGAATCCACTTGTGACATGGGTATCACCGGAGGAGGCTGTGCCGCCAATATTCATGAACACGAGTAGGTGGTTTTGAGGTGTAAA